CTGAAATTTAGTTTCTTTAACAACACCTGCAGCAAAAGTTGTTAGAATTACCTCTCCTTTTGTTACCACACTTGAATTGTCGAAGCCTGACAAGGTATGCGCCTTGGGTATCATTTTGTCTTCAGCTTGCATTTCACGTAATACCCTTAGTAGTATAATATTTATGGAACTCCCTGGATCAATCAAAACTCGTTTTACATTAGTATCATGTACAAGTAAAGATATTACCAGTGCGTCATTATGTGGGGTTATCACTCCTTCGGTATCTGCATCATCGAATGAAATACTTTCATTTTCTAAAACCTGTCGTACCAGTTTTCCGTGTGTAATTGTTACTTTAGAAACCTTGTTGGAAGCTATGTAGGTTATGCCGTGAATATCTTCTCCCCCACTTATCACATTCACTGTTCTCTTGGGTGAAGGAGGCTTTGGTGGCTCTTGCCTATTTTTCATATAGGCTTGTTTACCTTTTTCACTAAATAACTCAGTGAGGTACCCTTGCTTCAATAGATGATCCACTTCACTTTGTAAGAATCTACATTCTGAAGTTTTGTGCCCGTGATCATTGTGGAATTTGCACCAATGATCTGGATTACGTCTATTTGGATTTGACCGCATCTCTTTTGGCCATCGTACCTTATCTCCCATGCTTCTCAAAACAGCCACGAGCTCGGAGGTAGTGACATTAAAGTTATATCCGCCGAACCTTGCCTTTAAACTGCTGTCATCATCTCGTGACTCTTGTCTGTTCCCATCATTTCTGAATCTTGATGAAGAACCAGATTCCCTGTTCCTCGATTTTTGATCATATTGCTGGCTATCTTGTTTTGACCGTGAGTCTTTTCCTGCAAGTCTCATATATGGATCATACCTGTTTTTACCTGATCTTTTTTCGGTTTCTAATCTTCTGGAACCGCCCTTTTCTTCATGATGAAACTTAGGTACGGTATCTTCTTCAATTTGCAGCTTCGTACTGTACCTGTTGTAAACATCATTCCACGTGGTTGCAGGGAATTCTCGAAGGCTTTCTTTGAGTCTTCTCGTGGCTTCAGAACTTTTGTCATTTAAATTACTTGCAAAAGCTATTGCAGCCCAGTTGTCAGGTACACGGGGTAGAGTCATTCTTTCACGCTGGAATCTATCAACAAAGTCTCTGAGCAACTCTGAATCCCCTTGTTTGATTTTGAAAATATCTTCCATTCTTTTCTCAACCTTTTGAGCTCCCGAGTGTGCTTTAATAAAAGAATCTGCAAGCTCAGCAAAAGAATTTATAGAATTTTCAGATAAAAGAGAATACCAGGTTAATGCACCCTTGGTGAGTGTTTCTCCAAATTTCTTGACCAGTACTGATTCAATTTCTTGTTTGGTCAAGTCGTTGCCTTTCACGCCTGTTGTAAATGCAGTCACGTGGTCACGTGGGTCTGTAGTACCATCATATTTCGGGATGTCAGGCATTTTGAACTTTTTCGGAATTGGAAGGGGAGCAGCACTTGGCTTCCAAGGTTGTTGTGAGTATTTGTCCATGTCTACTCCTTTTATTACAGGCGGAACTCCAGGGATTTGCTCAATACGCTCATTTTGTTCCTTAATCTGTTTCTGCAAGGTTAGTACTAAATTTTGCAAATAGGAATTATTTGAATTACCTGGTCCCCCTTCCTGTGGTTCACTGGTGGTTCCTCCATTTCCAGAATTAACAAGACCAGAACGAGAATTCTCCAATGTATTATTATTAGGAATTGGTGTGGGTGGTGCAGCAGGCAATCGACTAACTAGATCCTGAAGAGCTTTGCCGACCTGTGCATCAATTAACTTTTGTAAAGCTTCATTTGCACCTCCTTCAAAATGTTCAGATTGTTCTTGTTGATCAGCACGGGATTCAGGGGCAGGAGTGCCTTCACGAGATTGACGTGGTGAATCTAGAGAGGAGGGAACCACGTCAATGTTCGGTAGGTCCCCTTGATTTTGATGGGTTTGATTTTCATGGTTTCCCAAGGTGTTTTCACTGTGGTTGTTGTTGTTTGACATGATGATAACAATGGATAGAGCGTAGCTTAAAAGAAAAGATTATCAGTTTCCCGGTAACGGAACCAATTTGTTTAACTAAAAATCTGAGTCTTTGGTCAAAGCTAGAAACGAAGAGAAATTCGGGTTACTGATAATCAGGAGACGAAAATAATAAAAGATTTTTGAGAACGATGATAAAGCAGTAAATAGCTTTGTATTTCAGTAAAGTCTCAATAATCTTCCTTTCTACAGATGTCGAGTCTTTCTCATTTTATAGTTGATTCTAGGAGAAGGTGTAATGCATTTGTCTTAATGAGGCAATTATGAGCAATAAATGACATTAAAAAAAACGTTACTCAATCATTCCTATTAGATACAAATTCTCTAACGTATTTGATATTTAATGTTGAATTTGGACTCTTTTGCGTCATCAGATTCATATCTTCAATCCTTTCTGATCTTCGGGGTTTTAAATGACTTATATAGGTACGAAACTCGTGCCTCTTGAATAACGACTCGTGCCTATTTAACTTTCTTCTCTCCGTATCTGTTGTCGCTCGTGCCTTCTTGGTTGATTACCGTGTTTTGACCATTTGACCAGTCCACGTGTCATGACACGTCATCTTCAATATATAAATTCAGTTTTTTCCCAATACAGCTGCTATGAAACTTCAGTTCATGGGATGATTGCCATAAATATATTTATCAGATTATTTAAAAATAAATTATAAATAATTACGTAAGTTAGTAGACAATAATTTGTGGATATTTCTACGTACGTAAATTAGTATACAATGATAATTCTGTTCTTTTCACGTTTATTGTTTCCAAAATTTATGATTTAGATACTATTGGCAATCTGATTATTTATCTAGTATGTTAGAAAGCTTTTTCAAAAACTTCAGCTTATATAGTGTTGAAGTTTTTACAAATGAACTAAATAATTTCAGCATCTTCTGCTGAAGTTTTTGAAAAAGCTTTATGACAAAACTAATGGATCCAGGACAAAAAAACTTCAGCTTTTAGTGCTAAAGTTTTTGAAAAAGCTTATCCAGGACTAAAAAAACTTCAGCTTATTTAGTGCTGAAGTTTTTATAAATGAACTAAATAACTTCAGCATCTTCTGCTGAAGTTTTTTAAAAAAGCTTAATGACAAAACTAATGAATTCAGGACAAAAAAAACTTCAGCTTATTTAGTGCAATTACAAACAAAAACTTCAGCAAATAGAGAACAAAACTTTAGCTACTATGCTTAAGTTCAGCAATTACAAACAAAAACTTCAGCAAATAGAGAACAAAACTTCAGCTACTATGCTTAAGTTCAGCAATTACAAACAAAAACTTCAGCAAACTTGGTTCAGCACACTTGCTACTTCAGGCCCGTCTACTAGAATGCTGAAATTTTGTATGATTGCCTTTGCTATTCAGCCCCGTATGCTGAAGTTACGCGAAAAAGCGGGTACGCTTGCAATTCTTTTTTGCAAAGTGGGCACAGGTTAAAATGTGACACAAAAAGCGGGTATAGATGCAAATACCTCTTTTCTTATCATATTGATATGAGAAAAATTGCAACTTGTAATACTTATCGTACAGTTTTTAAATATTTAAATTTTTATTTTAAAAGATTGATTTGGTATAATCCAATTTAGCGTTAAAAAGAAGTAAATTGACTCTCGAAACATAAGCTGGAACGGAAGGAAATCAACCGAATGTTATTCATTTCTCCTTCATTGCACGGCTTTTTATATTATCTATCCAAAATTCCAACTTTTTTTTTTCCAATAAATCTCAAACAAATGATAGAAATATTTTAATTAAATAATATTAAAATTAATTAAGCTCTCTAATAATAAATAATTGAGATTTTTTTTCTTTTTAAATACTAGTAATTCTAAGGTAAATTTGTACATATCCCTTTTTCGTAATTCAATGCTTAAATTCTTTTTTGAAAGATTAGTCAAACACAATCTGCTTTTCTAATACTAACAAAATCACTTCTCAAATATTTATCTGAACACAAACTATGACACCATTAAAATTCTTTTTTAAAAAGCACTTTCGACAAATAGCACTTTTCAAAATAAGCAGAGTACTGTGAAAGCCTGTCCAAACAAGCTCTTATTCACGGGCGAAGCTAAAAGCAGGAAATGGGTTCAGCCTAACCCAATAATTTTTGCTCAAACTGTGTATTATGTTAGAAAATTCATTAAAGATATACAAATATTAAATTTAGAACACAATTATTAACACTTAAAATGTATACAAATAGTGTTAGAAAATTAATTAATTATGTACAAATATTAAATAATTTTTGCTCAAACAATATAATTATCATCGTTCTAAATCCAAAACCTATAAAATTAAAATTCTAGCTTTATCTCTGCTCTTATTTGCTACTTAACCTTAGTGTATGGCTTCCTAGTAAACTAAAATTCCCTCTTCTTAATTTATCTCCTTCACGAGAGAAATTAACATGCATTTAAGTTTCTTATTCTCCTGTTTTTCTAATTGGCATTAAGAGAATTATTCATCCGAATATTTAAGAATGACATAAGAAATTGTAATAAATTTTAGTCATTGAAATAATTGCTAGAAAATTATTCTTTTTTAATATATATTATTTGTCTCATTGTGAAGAAGAGGTATATACACCACTAATATTTGATAGGCCAGAAAAAACAGGTGTGTGTGAACTATTGCATGGCCATGACTTACTCTTATGCTCTTGGTCAACTGGATTTTGCAATAATCCACTATCACACGTGGCAACTCTGTATTGCTTTACGAGAGGAAATCAACATTGAGTTAGATTTTCTAGACATAATAATGTATCTAAATATATCTACTCATGTTGTTGAACTTTGACAAATGGACAAGAATGCAAACGTTAAACAAATTGTTATCTTCCAATGAGAAAACAGATAATGATATTCTAAGATAATGACTTAAGTGTTTTGGAGTCATTTAAATACATTTGGTGCAAGACCATGAAACTCAAGCCAAAAATCAAGTATTCTTTGTGTAGTATAGCTTCATTCAAGAGTTTTTTCATTTTACTTCTACAACAATGACTGCCTCTACAATGGCTCTCTCTTCCCCTTCTTTTGCTGGAAATGCAGTGAAACTCTCACCATCTTCCTCTGAGATCACTGGAAATGGAAAAGCTATAATGAGAAAGACTGTTACCAAGGCGAAGCCAGTCTCTTCTGGTAGCCCATGGTATGGTCCTGATCGTGTCAAGTACTTGGGCCCATTCTCTGGTGAAGCACCAAGTTACTTGACTGGTGAGTTCCCTGGTGATTATGGGTGGGACACTGCTGGACTTTCAGCTGATCCAGAAACTTTTGCTAAGAACCGTGAGCTAGAGGTGATTCACTGTAGATGGGCTATGCTTGGAGCTCTCGGTTGTGTCTTCCCCGAACTCTTGGCTCGTAATGGTGTCAAGTTCGGTGAAGCTGTCTGGTTCAAGGCTGGATCTCAAATTTTCAGCGAGGGTGGACTTGACTACTTGGGCAACCCAAGTTTGGTCCATGCACAAAGCATCTTGGCCATTTGGGCTTGCCAAGTTGTGTTGATGGGAGCTATTGAGGGTTACCGTGTTGCTGGTGGACCTCTTGGTGAGGTTACCGACCCACTCTACCCCGGTGGTAGCTTTGACCCATTAGGTCTTGCTGATGACCCAGAGGCTTTTGCTGAGCTCAAGGTAAAGGAGATTAAAAACGGTAGGCTTGCTATGTTCTCCATGTTCGGATTCTTCGTTCAAGCTATTGTCACTGGAAAAGGTCCATTAGATAACCTTGTTGATCACCTTGCTGACCCCGTTAACAACAACGCCTGGGCCTATGCCACAAACTTTGTCCCCGGAAAGTAAAGTTCTTAAAAGAAGAGTCTCTTTTAGTATCAGATTGTCTGATGTCCTTGTGAAACTGATGTAAATTACTGGAGATTATATAAGAATTTTGTTCAATTGGTTAGTTCTCAGTTACATTTTCTGTGCTATCCATAAATTAAGTACAAGTTAACAATGGGGTACATAGGGAACACTTCTTACATACAACTATGTTCTTGCCTCATCCTTTCCCCAAATTAAGGTTTAAAGAAACAACTGCCCAACAATATTATCATCATCACTGATATAGTAGTTGTGTCAATTTTGGTTCATATTTTAGCAGACCAAAAAGAGCTGAAATATGGAAGATTTGGTTGTGGTCCATTACAAACGTTATCTTAGTTGCATGACTCTTTTTCACAAAAGATCAGGAAAAAATAACACAAAATCAGCAAATAAAATATAAAAGAGATATTAATAGGATATTTTATTCAAATTGTAACCGGTCATAAATCATTTCCTCCTAAAGCCTCTTGGAAGAATGTGTCAAAATGTTCCAATTTCTAACTTGGAGAAGTGAGACCATGCATTTTTGTACCTTCAAGTATACAATCTTCGTTTCTGGCCGTTTTCTTTTTATTACTGTTGTACTTATGTTTTACTAAGCTGAGGGTCTATTGGAAATAGCCTCTCTATCTCCACGAGGCAGGGGTAAGGTCTACGTACACATTACCCTCCCTAAACCCCACTATGTGAGATTACACTGGGTATGTTGTTGTTGTTGTAAGTATACAATCATCACAAAATGACTTGAAACTTTAAATAACTAAATAGACTATAAGGTGGTCACTTGAGCATAGTGTGTTCTTGGAAATCAAACAAATCAGACGAGAGTTCGGCATGCTTCCCTTTATAGGAGCTGCCATTTATCAAAATTGTGGTTCAAACATGAGAGATTGGGAAATCACTATTTGTCAGATGCAACAATATACCCAGTGTAATCCACAAGTGAGGTATGGGGAGGATAGTGTGTATGCAGACTTTGTCAAAGGCTGTAACGTAATCTCAAAAACAGTAAATAATGTTTTTGATGGTATCAGAGCAGTTCACAAACCTAACAGCCAGAACAAAATTATAGCTGGTGGAATCTCTTAATCCTTTATTGAGTAATTATCCGGGCAACAAAGACAACTTCTGCAAACTGTACAATTTAGCGCATGAAAGAGCGAACGTCTAGCAAAAAGAAATGGTTCACCTTCTTGAGGTAGCTCAAAATAGTCTGTCTCATACTCTAGGACCAGCCGACCAGCTAGCAATAAAGCAAATTGCTGGTAAAAATGGGTTAGTGTATGTCGATTTAATTGCTGGTAAATGCTCAAGCATTTCCCAAAAACAGTTGGAGGATTGCTCGTTCATCTTATTTACCAAATCAGTTAACCAAGCAGCTTTCATCTTGAATGACTTTCAGCCATTTTATCTTCCTCTATATCTTTGCTGACATGTCCACTGGTTGGCCTACACATATACATGTAAAACGTCAAGCCAAGAATTTGTGTAACATGAAACGCAAAACAAATATTTTGTTCTATTCATTCAAGGACAATCATTGTTAATCAATCATCCAAATGGACACATAATGATCATAGCTAAAACAATATTACTCAAAAAAATTGGCAGACCCTTACCCATTACAAAAACGCAGAGAACGATGGTGAGGCAAATTCAGAAGAACAAGCGAAACAAATATCCAAATAGATTTTCTCATAATGAGAGTCAACCAAGATTATGTACTTTTTCAATGCTAAAGTGAATGTCTGCTTTGATTTTTTGAGAGAACCCGAGCATGCAAACCAAAACCATAAGGCAACAGGCAGAGTAGCTCAAAACCTTTATAAACCCTTTTGAAAGCTCTTACACAACCCATGTGGGAAAACCATCTAATTCAAGCAATGTTACCTGATTTGGGGTTACAAGTCAACTTTAATACGGAACATTGAGCGTGAGAATCAGCTTGCCTGCTTGCCAAAAGGTGGCTTTGATACCATGTGAGAAAATATGATAATCCAACTCAATACCTTAAAGCAATGAATGGAGTAGCACAAAACATTTACAAACCACATTGAAGGCCCTTACATGATACATAACCCATATGGGACAACTAACTAACTCAACATGCATAAACACAATACCAAGAGAAGAGATGGACCCAGGATTTTAAAGCGATGGGGACACCACCAACTTTTTCTAACATAAACATGTCAACAGGTTTATGTTCAACCGAAAAATAAGCTGGATACTAAACTAAAATGGTAGCATATAGAAACTAAAAAATATAGAAAGAGTTGGTGAAGTAGGGATTGAACCTAGGTCAAAGGCTGAGTAAGGAAATTTGAGCAAGCCAGAGCTCAAAGGCCACAAGCCTTTGGACATTGTTTAAAATAATAATGAATTGAAGGAGAATAGTGGTGTTAATTAGTTACAGTTGACCCCAAAAGTGACGGGATACTAACCTTGACTACTCGTGTGCAACGACAACTACTACACCTCAAGTCCAAGCAAGTTGGGCTAAAACCAGTCTTGGACAGTGTACTTGGCTACTACTCCTGTGTAATTTTTTATTTTTTTTGAAAACCGTGGTGCCCCCCGGCCAGCTTGCCCGCACCTCGACTAATTCCCAAGATACCTGCCACCTCCCACCAGCAACAGTTATTAGGAAACTCTGTCCACCAAGGCTAGAGCAGGTGGAAGAAATCACCTAGTGTTTTTGCCTCCGACTGGGTTTGAACAACAGTGGAAGAAATCAACAGTGGAAGAAATCAACAGTTATTAGTTACAGTTGACCCCAAAAGTGACGGGATACTAACCTTGACTACTCGTGTGCAACGACAACTACTACACCTCAAGTCCAAGCAAGTTGGGCTAAAACCAGTCTTGGACAGTGTACTTGGCTACTACTCCTGTGTAATTTTTTATTTTTTTTGAAAACCGTGGTGCCCCCCGGCCAGCTTGCCCGCACCTCGACTAATTCCCAAGATACCTGCCACCTCCCACCAGCAACAGTTATTAGGAAACTCTGTCCACCAAGGCTAGAGCAGGTGGAAGAAATCACCTAGTGTTTTTGCCTCCGACTGGGTTTGAACCTGAGACCTCATGGTTCTTACCCACTTCATTGACCACTAGGCCAGACTTGGACAGTGATTTGACTATTGCCCTCTTTTAGAATATCTAGGCAGCCAGTGCACCTCAGCCAGGCTGCTTTCTGCTGTGTTGATGGCCCACTAAGTAAGCAACATACAAAACCACATCCTGGAGGTATAAGGGTCTTCTGAACATGACAAACTTTAGTTCTACAAATTTTTGTGCCTTTTTCCTGTTTCTTGTTTCTTATGTTCTACTTTATTTGGATAAAGTTCAACATGAATGAAGATTTTACGTGCTTGAGTGTGCAAAGAGAGAGCTATTGCCATCACTTCTCGAGTTTCAGTGGGTCTTCTACACCTTATAATTGGTCAAAAATCACATAATATATTTAATTCATGAGAAGCAAGATAAGAAGTACACATTAATAATAGTTATACGTAAGTAATAACTCTCATGGCCTTCAATTGGGCAGATGCATGCTAATATAACAAGAAATCGCGTGGCATATGTTCATGCAGAACACACAAAGTTAGGAAAGTGAACGGGGAGTTGAACTATCTCTTGTACCATTTAGCTATTGAGTATGGAAATAGCACTTACAGTCCACTGAATATTTTAATGGTGTCATAGAACAACCACTGCAAGGTCACCACTGGTCCAACTAGCATTATCCTAATCGGAAGACTTCTCGTAAACAAATTAAGAAACCCAATTTTCTTCACAGCCTGAAAGGTAAAAAGGGTAAATTAGAAATGCAGCAAGCATGAGAAGCATTTATTTATTTTTGGGTGTGGGAAAACATTAAGAGATTTTACCAGCTTTACGCTACTGGCCTTCTTGTTGTTAAGAGAAGCCACGATGTTGTCAGCAGGGTTCGAAATAATACTACCAATAGATCCAGCGGCATATCCAGCTAAACAAGTTACGCCAAGCTGCTGAGCTCTTGAACACTGTTCCTTCCTTTTCTGGATTATATTTCGATAAAGAAAATTCACTGTATGCTCAAAGGTTGAGAACATAACTATTGAGACTGCAGACAAAATAACCAGAATAAAATGAATAACCAACAATTTCTTTGATGAAGTAAAAATGAATAACCAACATTATATCCTTATCAAGGGGAAAGAAACAGTATAACCAACTTTAATTGTATTGGTCATACCCCTAAACCAATACAGCTAATAGTCATCAATTTCTTTTATCACTGCTAAATTAGACCAAGATTAGACATGACATATGGTAAAGCCAATTTTCTACTTTAAACTTTAACATCTATTCCAAAAAATGATCTAGTATAGCTTTGCTATGCATTTCAGCTAGATTTCAACTTCAGACAGGTGACATAAGTCCTGTGGGGTGTGATTGGTATCACATGCTGCATATTGGTTATCTATGTGTACACAATTTCATTGGATATACATATAAAAATTTGCGAATAGAGTTTCAAAGACTGAGAGGTACATGGTAGATTACGACCCAGTAGAGGAATAAGCCCTCTGTATAACCTGAAATTAGAAAGTCAAATTGTAGTGACTGTCAGTACGAAAAAATATTACATCAAAAGGGGAAAAGAAGTCCATGGTTAGGTTTGTACCCATGGATGCCTTCTGATGCATATATTCTCGGGAATCCGTCAGTGAGGCCTTTGGCGAAATGAGGCTGAGCTTGCACGCGAACTTTAATGGCCTCAAATGGGCAGAGAGCCACATTAGCAATTACTTCAGCTGATGCGCTGCTGACGAAAAATACCAAACTCTTGTTCTGATCCACCCGTAAATTTGAGTAAACTTTCTTAAAATATTCATACAGACCAAATCTACAAGCACCCTGAACACCATAGCCAAAAAACTTCCCCGTCCATCCTCGCCAAAAGGCCGATGGACCTTGTTCTCTCAACAAAGTCGTAAAGCACGTGGAAATGCTACTATACTTGATAGGGTGCACCTACAAGTTACAAACAATAGTTCATACTAAAGATCATAATGAAAGAGCAAGTATACCAACGGAAATGGGGTTGACGGGTATACCAGTCAATCCATCAACTATGCATCAATTTTGAATTAGTTTGGGTCGACTATATAAATCCTCTGTACCCATTCCGCTCAACTCAGGTGTCATTCAAATGCTAAATAATTCACCTTCTAAGAGTAGTTATACAATTTAAGAATCTACATTCACGAGCATTAACTAACTGTTCCTTTTTATGACGGTGGGTCAGCCTAGGCGCACCTCACCTCGACTAGTCTACCAGATACTTACTACCTCCTACCAGCATGGGCACCGGTAACTCTGTCTATCAAAGCTTAGGCAGATGGGAAGAAATCACCTAGTGTTTTTTTTCCTTCGCTCGGATTTGAACCTAAAACCTTATGGTTCTCCTCACTTCATTGACAACTAGGCTACATACTTAGGTGCGAGCATTAAAAAACTGTTTATTTTACCGTTTTTCATATAAGAGACCAGAAATGCAGCACAACATATAGTTTTGACCCAAATTATGGCAAAAAGACAACTCAAAAAAGAGCAACTATAACAACCGAAAGGGGATTGACGGGCATAACAATCAATCAATCAACTAAGTATCAATTTCAAATTCGTTGGTTCCAGCTATATAAATCCTCTGTATCCATTCCGCTCTATTCAAGTATCATCCCTATGCCAAATAATTGACTTTTTAAGGGTGTTTAGACAACCTAAAATTCTACATTCAGCAGTATTAACTAATTATTTACATTAGTGTGTTGCATAAAAGAAATCAGAAATACAACAAAGGGCAGCCCGTTGCACTGAGCTCCCGCTATGGGTGGAGTCCGGGGAAGAGCCGGACCACAAGCTTCTATTATACACAGTCTTATCCTGCATTTCTGCAAGAGATGTTTTCATGGCTCGAACCATGACCTCCCGGTCACATGGGAGCAACTTTACCTGTTACGATCATAAATACAACATTACTAGTACTTATTTTGACCAAGATTCTTACAAAAAAGTAAAACCCCAACAATTTTTTTTACCTGCATATTAACTTTGAGAACATCAAGAGGGGTGATAGCAAGATGAGTAGTGCCAGCACTAAGCATACCTCCAATTGTACAAATTCCATAATACCCTGGTGTGAATTCTTCACATACTTTTCCTCCTATTAAACTACTGCTACTCATATTTAAATATAAACTGTTTTGAGGTTCTACAGAAAAACCCCCACTTTGTTTTTTTCTTCTTAAACCCATATATTTGCAGCCAAAGTTTCGATTTTTCTACTGTATGTGATGGATCTTTCAACAGGATTTTGTGCAAGATTTAAGGTAACAGTGAGAACGACGTCGTAGTATATGGTTCCTTTATTAGCTCTTAATATCTTTGTATTTATAGAACTGTTTTACTTTTCTCTTGGAACATTTTTAAGAAAAGCTATTTTAAAAAAGAATCTTAATTGAGTACTGTCTAGGCATTTTCTTTTGGGACAAATGAAAAATGTAAAATACATTAAATAATCAATTTTTTCTAAAAATTGACCAAAAGTAGATTTTTATTTATATTGAATAATGTATTTTGATATATTTAAATTATTCGTAATTTGATACTTAAAAGTACTTTTTGAAAAGATTGACCAAACACAATGAGCTTGCAAAAAATACTATTCAAATGAATTGGCAAAATATAAATTGCTATTTTGCAAAAACACTTTTCAAAATCAGTATTTTTTGACAACTTAGCCAAACGGGTTTAAAGTATGTGGATTAAGTCTACGATTAATGCTGGTCATTAAGTTATACGAACAAAAAGATACTAGAAAATATGAACCTACGAGTTAGAATTTTGGGAATTAAATGCTTTTTAATAAATTCATAATTTTGAGAATTAAACACCATTCGGTACTCGGAAATAATTAAGGAGACATCCTTTTGATATGGAGCACTTTACATCCCTTAGTGAGTTTATCGAACGCAAATTTAGATTAATCAAGTCGATAAACTTTCAATAATGGACGATAAAATTATTTTAAAAAATATGAAAAAGAGAGAGAATATATTCTAGTAGAATCTTACGTTTTCTTTATTAAAATGGAGAATGAAAAAGAAGAAAGGTACAGGTGCACTTTTATTCACCATCGCATAGGAATTAGAGGAACAAACTGGTATGCTCAAGAATCATTTTTGGTAGTTCTATGTGGCAATTAAATTGAAAAATAAAGATTGATTTTTTAATTTTTCTTTACTCTCACGGGTCTAAAAAAAAGTGCATTCCGCTCTTCGTCACGTCAACATCTAGAGGGTTAAGACTTAAGTTTATCAAACTGTTAAGTTTAAGATGGTAATTAGAACAAAAAATAATTCAAGTGTGATCGCGTTGTTACATTATCTTTTTCTCTAATGTTGCCCTTTATTATTATTAATTAATCCTATTTTATCATTTACTCTATCTTTTTATATAATAATTCTACCTTGTACCATACTTTTTCTATGTAATGCAATATGATATGATATAATGCAATATGATGTGATATAATATTTATCCAAATATTATATTCATCAAACGATACAGTACAATATAATGCAATATGATATGATACATTATGAAACGATATATAACGACCATCCAAAAAGCTGTTAATAATGTTGTGTTTCTCTAAAAAAACCAAGAAACTTGTGATCTGAAATCAACTGTCACTTATTTTTTCTTGCCAAAGTGGGACAAAATGCTTCTTCTGTCTGTTGAATTTTCAAACCACAATAGAAAAGTATGAACAAAAACCTTTGCCTTGTAAACTAATAACAAAACCAGTATTAACATCTTCACCAAGCTTAGAAACACCATCTGTGGATAATTGAGGGACCATATTCATCATACACGCCTTTTGCTAAACACATCTGCATATGCAACATATGGATCTTAGTGCTAAACCAATTATTTGAGACTTAGACGTAATTGATTTGATTTATTGATCAGTCAAATAAAAAGGCGAGGAGAAACTAACTTGTTTGAAAGTACTGAGGGAAGCTAGAATTGATCCTCCTATCCAGCTGTTGTACTTCCTCTCAGGTGGTGCAATCACCTTGATCTTCGTGTTGCTCGGAGCAAGAGCAGCTATTTCCTTGCTCGTACATTCTGCTATGCCAGGAAACATAGTCGAGCCACCACTAAGCACAATGTTTGTGAATAAATTTTTCCTAATATCAACATCGCATCTCATGATTGAGTTGTAGATTTTTTCATGAATTCCTGTCGTGTCCTTTCCAACCAATGATGGTCGAAAGAGGACTTCAGGACACCGAAACCTTTCAGAACCATGAGCTAAGACATCAGGGCAACATGACCCCTCGGAACCAAGAGCGAAGAATTGTTCATCAGGAAGCACATAGCCTTTTGCAGATGATGAGCTATCCTTTTGCCTTCTCAATCTCATGTTCAAAATCCAGTAAAACATATGTAATCATCTCCTTTAATTGACGAACAATTTCCAAAGCACCTGCACAGGTAAATCGGTAGCCACTCTCCTCGAGAATCTTCATAAGATATTCTGAAAGATCACGGCCACCAAGATCTAATCGCGAGATAGCATGAGGAAGCGCATGTCCCTCATAAATAGGGACAGCGTGGCTCACAGTAGAACCAGAATCAAGCACAATACCTTGTCGAAGAACAACAAACGAATTAATGACCGATTAAAACAGTAAAAAACTAGCATATGCTGGTATTCTTCTGCTGCTTACCAGTTGTATAACCGCTAGCAAACAGAGGAAGAATGGCCTGGATTGCAACATACATGGCTGGCACATTGAATGATTCAAATATGAATTGAGTCATTTTCTCTCGATTCGCCTTGGGTTTAAATGGTGCATCAGTCAGAAGAACGGGATGCTCCTCGGGAGCAACAGCGAGCTCATTGTAAAATGTATGTTGCCAGATTTGGTCCATATCATCCCAGTCTCTTATGCTTCAATTGGATATCTGAGAGAACAAAAACCTCTTTTATACCGAGCTTCCTCACCAACATAGGCAAATTTTTGTCCCATTCCAACCATGACGCCATTGTGACGAGGACGAGCAACTATACTTGGAAAAACAGCCCTAGGAGAATCATCTCCAGCAAAACCAACCTAAAGAAATAAACGACGCAGTTATTATTCATTAGTAGGTCACATTAGGAGCAATGTAATTAGAGGTGTATCTAGTTTTTTAACGCAACATATTCTGCAAAACCAGTGCCCCTAAAGACTTTTAGTGTTTATGGTACCAAGTTATTTAAATAAACCATTTTCAAACCGAAGTTACGAGGTCTGGTGACCCCTCAATGTTATACATAGGTCTACCTCTTAACGTAGTTAACACTATACGAGCTACAATTATAAGCATTTTTTCTAACTAACCTTGCTCGTTACACTTCCGTTGTCAGTGACAAGTGGTTGGATATCGTTCCCATGATCAGCCATCTTGTAAGTACTTCAAATAATATTTTGCAAGTATAATTTAAGGTGAGAAATCACTAGTACAACTACAGAGTCAAAGTGAAAATTGTTCACAAAATCAGCTCAGTCTGTGAGAAATTTCTTCCTTTATCTTTCATATTTCTAGTAGCAATCACCAGCTATTAACTTGAACCTCTCGTTTATCGATTAAAATCAGAAAAAACAAGTAGGGGATTCAAGCAATTTGAAGGCATCTCACTCATGTTAAAAGCTCAACACATGGATTTTCCTAAATCCTAATTCTCCTTCCTGCCAATGAAAAGAAGAGCAAAATGCCGAAAATTAGCATGTAATAGTAATTCAACAACGAAATGATACTAGTGCACTTTTCACCATGATACAGTTAGCTGCACATATACTCTAAATCTGAAGAAAATTACAACAACAATAACAAATTCAATATAATCCCACATAGTGGGGTTTGGGGAGGTTATTGTGTACGCATCCTTACCCCTATCTTGTTGAGATAGAGATGTTGTTTCCAATAGACCCTCGACTCAGGGAAGCATAAGCAGCATAAATAACATAGTAAGATGACCAACTTGAAAGAAACAACAGGTAGTCATAGAAATCTAATACGAAAGTACCTAGTAATACTATCGACACGAATAAGGAGAATTTAAAGAAAACTCACATTCATAAGAATGGTTGCTTAAGAATCACTAAACTTAAGAAAACATGAAGAGCAAAGAGGTGCAGACAAGCAAAGTGCTATGTATGGTAATACAACAACAGTAACAAACCCATTGTAGTTCCACAAGTAGAATCTGGGAAGATAATGTGTACGCAGACCTTACCCCTAACTTGTGAAGGTAAAGAGACTGTTCCCGATAGATATTCAGCTCAAGAAAAAAAAAAGCGGCAACAGAAATGAGAAGATAATATGAAAAATAATTTACAACAACAAACTCAATGTAATTCCACAAGTAGGTTCTGGGAAGAGTAGTATGTACGTGGACCTTACCCTTAACTTGTGAAGGCAAATAAGTTGTTTCTGATATAACCAAAAAACATTTAAAAAAATAAATAAATAAAAAGCGGCCAACAAAAATGAGAAGGTAATATGAAAAATAATTTGCGTTCTAGAAAATGACATTGTATAGCCGCTGTAAAAATAATAGCCAAAAAAATATATAAACTTTTTGTATTTTTTTGTATATATATACATTTTGTATGTTATATACAAATTTTCTACACTTTTTCGGCTACCAGATGTAAATAGTTTCTGGCACTAGCTCACTTTTACCTTCTATATAGAACCAAATGTCACACACCAAACATATAAAAGAACTAAATCAAGAAAAGCCAAATGAATGGCATAAAGCAACAGTAATCTTAAAGAATATGAAAACTCTACTGATGCCATTTGATACTGTTTCAGTTTTAGTTGGAATATCTCATTGTTTTGCGATGACTTTTCTCTATTTAAACACAAATAAGCACAAGGAAACAATTTTCATGATCAACAAGGTATAGATAATTTCGTTCGACCAACAAATGTTCAAACAAATTTTGTTCATAACCAAAGGAAATCATCCTAGCAAAAACTGAATAAAAAATCAGGATTAGTAATAAAAAAAATTGCTGCAACAAACAAGTCCCAGGCGCATAGCCAATCAACTGAATACAAATGAAACAAAGACAAATACCTTGATAAGAGAGGGAGTAGATATTGGATACCAAATAATTATTTAAAAAAATAAATAAATAAAAAGAAACAGAGACAAACCAAACACAGAACTGAGGAAAACACCGAATTCGATCGATCAGCAAATAGAATTGAAGCTTATCTTGATGAAATCGAATTAAGAGAAACAGAGACTTTTTCTGGTAAACGAAAATTT